TTTTAGTGTTAGACGTGTAGTGCCGGCCTAGAATAGAATAGCACTACTACCACAACCGAATTCTGGCCCTGGCAACCTACAACACGCGCACACTGAGGACCGATGCCAAGATGACAGAGATGGAAGAAGCTATGAGCAAGTTACACTGGGACGTCATCGGGTTATCTGAAGTCCGAAGAGAGGGAGAGGACACGATAACTCTGGACTCCGGTAACTTGCTGTACTTCCGGGAGGGCGACCAACAGTCCGTAGGTGGTGTCAGGTTTATCGTCCACAAGTCCCTCATCAACAACGTGCTGACCATCGGTAGTGTTTCGAGTAGAGTAGCGTACTTGGTCCTCAGAATATCATCACGATATTCGATGACTGTCATCCAAGTCTACGCTCCAACCTCGAAACACACCGATGACGAAGCGGAGGCTATGTATGAGGAGATCTCTCGGGCCATGCATAGCCACAAAACCCACTACACGATTGTGATGGGGGATTTCAATGCAAAGTTGAGGAAACGTTGCGACGACGAGCTGAGAGTGGAGCAATTTGGATTTGGGGAATGGAACGACAGGGGCCGGATGCTGGCGGACTTTATGGAGAGGGAGAACCTCTATATAATGAACTCCTTCTTCAGAAAGCCCGTCTTCCGCAAATGGACTTGGATAAGCCCCGACGGCAAGGTCAAAAATGAGATTGATTTTATCATGTCGACGAAGAAGCAAATATTCAGTGATGTCTCAGTGATTAACGCTGTTAAGACAGGAAGCGATCACCGCATGGTAAGAGGCACATTGAATATCAACGTTAAGCTTGAAAGATCGCGACTGATAAAATCAACGCTCCGACCTGTGCCAGCCCAAATCCAAAACCCCGAGCGCTTTCAGCTCGAGCTCCAGAACAGCTTCAAGTACCTTGAGAACAGCATAGACGTGGACGATCTGAACGACCTGGTGGTGGATACTGTCCGTACGGTACTACACACTTTAAAACCCGCCGTACCAAATTAAAGAAACTCTCCGCATACACACTCAAACTCATGGATAGGAGACATGAAATGAGACTACAGGACTCAGCGGATGCCCTTCGTTCTAGACAGCTTATTAGACAGATCTCGAAGTCGTTGACGAGCGACCTTCGCCACTTTAATACCGAGCGTATTAAAGAGGCCATAGAGCGGAACAAAGGCTCCAAAGTGTTCGCTAGAGATCTGTCTATTGGGCAAAGTCAACTGACGAGGCTGAAAACTGAGGATAGTAGTATCATTTCATCGACTCCTGAAATCCTGAGGGAGATTCAGAGTTTCTATAGGCAGTTTTATTCCAGCAGAACACCAGGCGAAAGCAGAGCTCGAGATCCTAGAGCCAAGCTTACCCGACATTATACCGAGGATATTCCGGACGTCAGCCTGTACGAGATTAGAATTGCCCTCAAACAGCTTAAAAACAACAAGGCGGCGGGAGATGACGGAATCACAACAGAGCTTCTGGGAGCGGGCGGTACGCCGGTACTTAAAGTCCTCCAGAAACTCTTCAACTCCATCATCCACCAGGGCAAAACGCCGAAGGCATGGAGCAGGAGCGAGGTGATTTTGTTCTTCAAAAAGGGCGATAAGACCCTACTGAAGAACAACAGACCCATCTCGCTTTTGAGCCATATCTACAAGCTGTTTTCGAGGGTCATTACGAATCGCAGGCTCGTCGACTTCCAGCCTCCCGAACAAGCCGGTTTCCGAAAAGGCTTTAGTACCATAGACCACATCCATACGCTGCGGCAGATTATACAGAAGACCGAAGAGTATAATCGGCCACTTTGCTTAGCGTTTGTGGACTATGAGATTCGATCGAGACCTGGGCGGTGCTGCAGTCTCTCCAGAGGTGCCAAGTGGACTACAGGTATATCGAATATGAAATAATGCAGAGATGAACGGAATTCAAGAGCTAGAGTCTGATTAATGTTTTTTCTCACACAGTCTTAATAAAGAAATATTATTAAAAATCGGTTGTGTTTTTTTCTCAATCTAGTCCAGGCAACGAACGCTCGAAAACAGGTATAGAGGGAAATGCTTGGAACACAATTTTTGACTTCATAACTTTGTTAGGAATAGTTAGGAGGTAAACATATCAAAAGTCCCCGCCCGTAGCCCTTAAGCCGGGGGGAAGGGGGGGGGGGGGGATTGAATGTCCCATTTTTAGGTTTTTCGCATATATCTCGGAAACTATGCATCCTAGCGACATGAGACTATGATAAAAGTGAAAGCTGATTAAATTTGCTACAAGTCTTATTCAGTCAAGTTTTTTGATATCTTGTATAGTTTTCGAGATATCCGCCCTTGAAAGTCTGTCATTATGGAAAAAAAAAATGCCACCACTTCCTGGGAATGCTGTTTTACTGCTCCCTCGGTGAGAGGAAGACAAGAGATATCAGGCTTGATGGTGGCCACTGATTTCAAGAATGACTTGTACCTGTAGGCATTGAAGGAAATCTCTTTCGCTGGAGCTCCATACCACCTTAAGATGCAGGTTTCACCTGCCTTTTGTACTTGAGCGGTGGTGGAGTAAGGGTGTGAAAAGACCGCTGCTGCTTTCTGGATTTCTGGTGACTTGATAATTTCTCTGGTCTCTGGGAAGGGAGGAAATTTCTCAAACCAATCGTTGAGCTTGGCAATGTCAGCTCCATCCTTGTTTTGGCGGGCTTGTCCGAAATCTGCATGCTGCTCACTGGTGGAACCAAAAACCCTACGGCCGGCATTGTTGAAGAGTTATCCGGTCAAATAGAGCAAAAATGTGAAGCAATTTTTTTTTCCATAATTACAGACTGTTAAGAGCGGATATCTCGAAAACTATACAAGATATCAAAATACTTGACTGAATAAGACTTGTAGCAAAGGAGATTGCTGAAATTGGCCCAAATGCACAAAAAATATTGACATACACGGTAATTCTTGGCGTAATTTATCATTTAATTTACACTCATTAGATTTCAACCGACACCTTTGTATAATATATTTACTTTAAAAAGGATTTTTAATTTTACCGGTTTAGAAAACATACGAATCATTTTTAATGGCTATGGGTGTAGTAACATTCAGCCAAAGACTGATCGAAGTTATTTTTAAAACATAAAAACAACTCTATTTTGTAAAGATCAATAAAATAAATATTTTTTTTATTACACTGTGGTATTAATATCCACAACTATTATAGACTCAGACAATTATTATAAATAGATGGTAGGCGACATCATAAAGTCTATTGCCATACATTTTTCGCCAAACACCTCCATAGACACATTATAATCTGTATATATGTTAGACTTTAAGGTATCTTTCTATGGGCCTACGTTCCCTGACTATAAATTAATTAATAAATAAAATTATAAGGTGTGATACACTAAAAATCTAAAATATGGTTATCTTAAAAACATAACAAAAATAATGAAGCTACTGAATATATGGCTATAGAACATAAATCTGTTAGCTTTCTTTGGTTAACGAGAGTTTAAAAATTCTCTCTAATCTGTGGCTCATTCACAATCATCACACAGTTTCTGTCACAGAGTACCTTATTACAACCGGAAATGACACCTGATTTTAAAAGTTACTCTTATGCATTAACTTTAAAAACAAGCAACTATCTGTTAATATACATGCTCTATATACCTGAATCTAATCCATAATTTCGGTACTTGGCTTGATTTCCCTAGTTTACTATATAACTTATTTGTTTTTTATTATTATAACATGTTTAGTGTATATGGTTTATAGAAGTTCTCAGGGGTGTCCGTCAATAATATTCGTTTCTACAGTAATTTATATATAATTTCGAATCTAGGAAACAATTTTTCATGATTATTGGTCTTTAGGCCAAACATGTATGGAAGCTGAGCAATCTCCTTTAATCCGTTTTCACTTTTGTCAAAGTCTCATGTCGCTAGGATGCATAGTTTCCGAGATATATGCGAAAAACCTAAAAATGGGACCTTCAACCCCCCCTTCCCCCCGGCTTAAGGGCTACGGGCGGGGACTTTTGATATGTTTACCTCCTAACTAGTCCTAACAAAGTTACGAAGTCAAAAATTGTGTTCTAAGCATTTCCCTCTATACCTTTTCGTTGCCTGGACTAATCATAGTATTAAATAGGAACTTGTTTTTGCTCACTCTACCTATTTGGTCTGAATTGACAGCTATGACGTCAAAATATGGCGCCCAGTCGGTCCTATTCTTAGTTGAATCGCATATAAAATGAATGCTATTCAAAACATCGGATCGATTCGATGCAAACATCGATATGTTTCTGATCAATCTGTTTTTATCATCATGCTTAAAAGGGAATAAAAAGGACAGGCTGATGTTATACGTACCTACTTACGTTTTTTGCAAATCTTAAGTGGCCCTGCTTCAAGCAGCAGTCAAAGATAGCAAATAGGCATTACGTATTCGGCTCTTTTGGTGTGTGTTTTGGTGTTCAGTGTGCAACTAAAGAGAAAATTGCATAACCATGATGTTTTTGAGAATAAGTATCTTAGTGGATTTATAATAAAACAGTAGTGGATCACTAAATTGCTCGGTAAAAGCAGCGAATAGACCTACTGGGGGCCAATCGCCAAATGGGATTCCTATGGCTATTGCATTCGCTTACGATTTCATTTTGTATTTTCTGATCGAAGGATTTCATATTCTTGAAGCTCATTTTCTTTAACATTGTTATTAACAATGTGAAATACCATCGGCGCAGCGTGGCGGTCATAAATAACGAAAGAAATCGTGAGCGATAGCCATAGCAATCCTGTTATGCGATTGGCCCTATGGGCGCACGATTTAAAATAAAACATGCTGCCATCCCACCGTCTACTTTTTATACCACAGTTGAGTTCCGGACTTATCCGTTAAATAACATAGATTTTTATAACCTCATACCAAAATATGACCGCAAAATGTCGACAAGAAGCACATAAATTCCTTTCTATAAATTGATTAAGGTAAGGGTTGCTTTCTATAATTAATTAATGAGCAATATGAATGTTTAAAAATTACGCGAACAGCATAAAATTGCTTAAAAGCCTGCCTACTTAGTTTAAGAAAACAATTTTAATGCTACTATTCTGCTAATGCAAGCACTCATTGCTAATAGCTTTTTATTTTTTTATTGGAAATTGGTGGGTGGTGTACCCACATAAAAAACCAACTAAATGTTTAACTTCAGCGATAATTATGTTGAATATACATGCATATTATAAAAGTTTGATCCAATACAGAGAATACACGTCGCGCGCTCTAGTTTCACCGTCGTTACACGTTAACGACCAATTAACTGAAAAAATACTGGGAATATGTTAACAAACAATGAAAAGAAGTAGAGTGAAAAGGCCGCGGGACAAAAACCAAAAAATGGATAGAGTTCTTACTGATTTTATAATGATAATATTCGTTTTGTTCGCAATTTATTTGGTGACTGCGTATGAGCCGATGACTAAGGAAGAGCACATTGCGAAGTTCAATAAAATGAATGACGAAGTGGAGCCGTTCAGAAAGAATTTGACAGAATGTTCGCGCCAAGTAAAAGCTTCTATGGTAGACATTGAAAACTTCTTGAAGAGAATTCCTCAGACATCGATGCAAGGCAAATGCTTCGTGGCCTGCATCCTGAAGAGAAACGCGATCATAAGAAACAACAAGGTAGACGATAACGGCCTTCTGGAAGCTAATAGAGCTGTCTACGGAGACGACAGCGAAGTGATGTCAAGGTTAAAGTCTGCCGTCGGGGAATGCAAACAGGTCGTAGATAATATTTTCGAGATATGCGAGTATGCTTCGATTTTTAATGATTGTATGCATATGAAAATGGAACATATTCTTGATAAAGTGACTTTGGAGAGGCGCATGGAGGCTTTGGGCCAGATGAGCACCGACACTGACACTTGGACAGATGAAGAAGACGAAATGTTGAAATTGCTAAAAGATGAACTGTGAAGACTTTTTATTTTATTAAAAATTAGTACGTGTTTTATGCAGACAGTGCATATTTTCTATAAATCTCATTTACACAAATAGATACGAGTCCATTAATGTTATTTTAATAAAACATCACAGTTTTTCACTCAAAAGTAATTTATAAGCAAATCTAATGGCGATTTTTTCGCATTTAACAGAAGTAACAAAGACAAATATTACACTGTCCGTCCGGTCGGTTCGAAACGTTACCAGGAGTCCACGAGGTAGGGGATGTAGTCGGGTAGGGCTTGTGCGAGTGATAAACAGGTATCTTAAGCGTCTATAGCTAAGATAACAGTATACCTATAGTCGAACGATATACTTGGTTAATTAGACACTTGGTGTGTTGTGATTCTTTCGGAGAGTAAGGTTTCAGGGCTCCACGCGGTGCCCGGTCCACTCGATGGACCGGGCCGGCCCGGGGGCGTTCCAGTGAAGTGGCGTACACAGGTGCGCCGATCCTGAAACGCTCCCACATGGGCGTAGGAGGGTACCGGTGGGTTTTAGTGGGTAGGACCGGCGTTGTTCCGCACCAGGATGTCCCACACACGCCGCGCGCTCAGCCAGCGCGCGCGGTACGGTGCGTAAATGCATTTCCCATCGACAAAAAAATGGCTCCACGCGGTAGGAAGGGAAGGGTATTGTGTCAGTCGGGGTAGGAAACTGTACCAGTGATATTTTTGATATCGCAAGCGTCTATGGGCTATGGAGGCCACATACCTTTAGGCGGGCCATATGCTTATTTGCCACCGTTTTAAATAAAACGTGGCAAATAAGCATATGGCCCGTGTAAGTAAGGCGTGTTAACTCATGGTGCGACGCAATGCAGATTTGCATCGATTGACGATATAAGGGAGAGATGTAAGAAAATGTATTGACAGTCGTTAATGCTTACTGAACAAATCGTATATTGGTGTCGATTCTGGCTTGATTCTCTAAACTTGAAACTAAATTTACCATCAGTCTCTCCTTTTCTTGACTTAACCACTCCATTTGTTTATACAACAGGAAGCTGCTTGTACAGCCACACGTCTAAGCATGCTGGGGCTATTGTGGGACAACAACTACCCACACACCAGCATCTTAGCAGACATACACAGGCACTTTCCGTACTTTGCAGCAGTAAACGACCTTATTCCCAAGACGTACGTATTCGCCAAAAAAATCAAAATTCAACCTATGAAGACACTCCGGACCGTTGTCTGTAATAGGAGTTGAGGGTCTACACAGACGGCTCAAAAACCAACTACGGTACAGGTTCATTTTACTATTATTAAAAAATAAAAATAACTTACCTTAACGTTATCAGCAAACGTTCAATTGGACAAACCTTTTCTCGTAGATTATTCAATATCATGAGTAAACACTCTAATCCTAGATATTGTAAGACTTATTAATCCTTCATAGACTTTGAGTGGAAAACCCCTAAGATCAAAAAATATATTTAGCATCCTACTTACCATAGACCGAAGTAAAGTCTAGGGCTACTATTACATCAACTGCCTATCCTAGTCCACTGCTGGACAAAGGCCTTTCCAATTGCTTATCGATCTTGGGCTACTCGCATCCAGCTCCTGCCAGCCACCTTGCGCAAATCATCACACCATCGTATCTGAGGACGTCCTACACTACGTTTGACTGGACGCGGTCTCCACTCCAGAACTCGTCTACCCCAACGGTTATCGGTTCTTCGGCAAATATGGCTAGCCCACTGCAGCTTCAACTTGCTAATCCGGGTGAGCTATGTCGATAACTCTGGTTCTCTATCGGATTATCTCATTGCTGATGCGATCCTTCAGAGAGACGCCGAGCATAGCCTTTTCCATAGCGCGCTGTGCGACTTTCAACTTGTGGACCAGCCGTACCGTCAGTGTCCACGTCTAGGCGGCACTACTATTACCCAAGAAACTAATGAAATAATAAAAAAAACATAGTATTAGTTATTAATATTCCTTTTACATTTATTAAATCGTTATGTGAGTACTCGTACGTATTAAATTATAAGTATAATCACACATTAATTATCACATTAATGTTTTCTATCAGCACGATAGAAAAACAATGACTCTGTCTAAGACAAAGGTTAAATATAAGAAAATTTAAATAAGAAGTTAATTTGCTGCTTAAAAACTAAATAGAAGGCCATTTACATGATGCAAGTTTCTTGCCTTTAGTATACAATACATAAATATTTAAAATAAAAAATTAAAGCAATAAATGACTTGCATGGTCTAAACAGCACATAACATTCTTGATCTGTTATACAAGATTTGTTACAAAACTTTTCTTGGTGTAAACAGCGCATACAACAATTGCACTTGTATTCAAAAACGTTCAATACTTATATGAAAAATTCGCCAACGCAAGTACAGTCTGTCAATAAAGTCATGAAAAAAAGAGGTCGCTACCGTGGCTCCCTCCATCCCTGTTGTACATCGACTAAAACGCTTTGATATGAGTTACAAAGTACAATTGTATAATTATGTAAATTCCATTATTCCATTTCTATTCCATTCTTATCCGGAGTTTCTATTTTATCTATATACTTTGCTAAAATAAAAATAAATCTACTTAATTATTTCTAGTTAAAATGTCTTTAGATTTATAGATCGTTTAGATTTATGCTGAAAAATAAAACTAATAAAATTATATAAATTTGTCTTGCTTGACTTTCGAGGGCCAGGCTAGTAGACACTCAAGCCCTATGACTGGCCTTTTTCGTTCACATACTAAAGGTGGGAAGTAAAAAGAAAGATAGTTATTATAGTCAATAATATATGCGTGTAGACATTATCAAAACTTGAAAGCAATAATCTCCTAAATGTAATTGTATTGGTATAAACAAAAGACATTTACAATTCTCTCTCTTGCAAAACTTGCTTCAAATAATTTTATGCAACCTTTTTACTATGTCCGCGTATAAACAGTTGCTTACAATTCTTGAAGGTCATTTATTGTATTAAATAATTGCTCTTGTATGTACAAGAAAATTCATTTATCATTCATCATTATCAGCCTATTAATGTCCCCACTGCTGGGGCACAGGCCTTCCCTATGGAATAGGGAGATTGAGCCATGACCCACCACGCGGGCCCGGTTCGTATTGGTGAGTGCTTACGACTGTAGATGCAACCGGGACCAACGGCTTAACGTGCCTTTCCGAAGCACGGAGGAGCTCGAGATTATAAATTTTTGGTCAACCATCCAAATGACAACTTAAATTCAACGATCGCAGCCGAAAGCGCTAACCACTTGCGCCATCGAGCCACAAGAGAATTGCATCGTGTAAATCAGTCTTAAATAATTAGGTACTACGCGTTCGCTTCGAATTGGCCGCTCCCACCCTCCCCGCCTCACCGCACTGCGCTCCTAGATAGACCCTATTAGTCGACCCTATTGGTCGTCTTTACCAGTTGATGTGTCTGTGTGTGACACATTTTGTAACGGTCATCGACGTTCAACTTTAAGCGAACGGGTAGTAGGTACTTCACATACTAGACGAAACTTAAAACAGAACCCATTTTAAATAAACAATTTGGTACATAACAATAAGTCTGTAGGTAAGTTATTATTATAAAATAAACAAGTACATAAACTTATTTTTACAAAACAAGTTACCATTATTAAATACAGAACATTGTTTTTATGTGTGATTTTTAAGTTGTATTTTCCACTTTCTTTGCGATAGCGCAGATTACAAGTTCTATAATCTGAGTGTATCAAACAGATATTACTTTAAAATCTTTGGATTTATGCCTTCCTCCCATAGGCGCGTTATTAACGTGAGTCGATAATACCGGATGCGTTAATGCGAAATCTGTTTTTAGTACATTATGTATTAAGACGACTACTAAGTTACACGCTATGATAATAACGACGCAATAAAAGTAGAAAGAATTAATGTAATAACGCATCCGCTATTCTTGACAGATAATATCGCGCCTCGCCTATGGTGGAAAGCTCTAAACCATGGAGGTTAGAGAGAAGGAAAACGATCGCTGTAGAAAATAGTATCCCAGAAATATGCACAAAATAAGTGAGACGCTGCGATCGCTAAGTTGTCACAATACAGGAGGGCTGTTGTGTGCTAATTTGAAATGACCAATGCCGCGAAGCAAAATTTGTAAGTACATTAATGAAGTAACTTCATCTACTTGTACTCATAAACAGCTAACTTCACAGATACTACTTACCGACGGCAGCGCGGCTGGTGGCTGAAAAATGAACAATAAATTCTACAAATTTTCAGGGCCAGGCGGGCTAATGCTTTAGCACGTAGCGATCGTTCTCCTTCTCTCTAACCTCCATGCTCTAAACTTAGGCAACACGGCTCTTTGACAAGCATTAAATTAATTGATGTCTCAAAACGGGGTTGTCATCGTCAGTAATTCAAAAGGTAAGGTGCAACGCAGACGTCGGCATTTTGCCTGCGCGAGTGCATTGTCAGTTTGGTAAGATGCGATTCTTTTTATCCTATCCTATCGCTTGCGGAGATTCTCCAAATTCCAAAATATCTGGTTACAAATAAGTAAGTACTAGCTAGGTCAAAATACTATTATCTAATTACATCTTCATTTCCCTTACATAAAAGTTATACTTGGAATGCTGCTATTCTAAGTAAAAAAAGACTGTTCCCGTAGCGTATAAGCATATGCAACTACTAAACATGGTAATGCATTATTCTTCATTCTTTGTGAATATTACCTAACAATAATCACTAGGTAGGTACTTTATCAAAACATAAATATTTGGCCGCTGAATATTTATCTGAGTAAGTCCCTCCCTGTCAACGTTATCAGACATCCTGATTAAAAACAACGAAACTAAGTAAATATGTAGTTACTTTTCTCTAAAGTTGTTAATAAACGATATAAGGCATGCAGATTGTATCAAGTCACTATGTCCAAAAATTGGTATTTTATTTTGCTTTTCGTGTCCAAAAGTTTTGTACGCTGCAAATGCTGCGCAACCTATGATTTAACGAATGCTATTTTATTTATGAAAATTTTGCTAG